CAAAACAAAAGGAAGTTAGAAGATGTACTATGTACATGTGTGATCAGCAGGAATTACTATGGGAATAGCACAGACTACATTGTAGGCAGACAAAATTAACTGAAATTCCTTATGCCACTGGTTCTGAACAGAAAGTGAGAACACACATAGAGCTAGAGTAGTCACTGCTGTGCAGAAACTCCTAGTCTTTTCTTGGCGGAGACACCTGAGTGTTTTGAATGTAGTTTTCATTAACTGGTTCTTCAGCTACTGCAGGTGACCTGAGGAAAGTTGCTTTTCCTTCTTCCTCATGCTTACCTCAGTCCTGCTTGAGTTTCATAATCAGTTTATACTTTTATGCAGCACAATGGCTGGAATTTCACCAATATATTCACATTTATTGAAAACAACTATATGCTGTCTAGCTATATTTATATTTAGTAACTATAAAATTACTGCAAGCAATTACTGGAGCAAAGAACCAATTTGATTTTTGTTCCACTGACAGACGGGGTATGCCACAAAGTGACCACACTTTAGCTGTATAATATGCAGAGTTTATCAAACAAGCACACTAAAGCCAATAAGCACACTAAAAGCAAGCACGCTAATGTGAATTAGGTAAATATTTCTATGTATATATAAGTATAGTAAATAAGTACCTTAAGGCAAATCAGAGATATAGGTATATCAGTAAAGTACCCGAGAAAGTTAGGAATGCATCAGGTCATTACTGTGTAGAAAGAAGAGAGATTAAGAAGACATACATTACCAGTTACCACTGAATCATCATCTAGGCCCACACTTTCAACTGGGAAGGCCCATTGTAGATGATGCCAGGAGTCTCAGGTAATTGGGAAAAATTCCTATGCAGTGCATCCACCCATAGGTGAGGGAGGCTTCTTGCATGGCCACAAGAGGGTCCCGCTTTTACACCCTTATCAAAACAACTAGCTTTACGCCAGATCTCTGATCGGTTACTCGTGGGACTGTGAAGTTTCTCATGATCTCACCGTTGCCCACTCTGAGAGCATTGGCCAGGCACCTCAGTGCAGCCAAGTATGAAGGCCATAGAACAGCTGCACACCTATGTTTTTCTGCTTCTTTCCAACAAACAGTCACAATGAACACAAACAATACTTGGACAAATATACTGTGGCAAGCAACACCCTTTGCTATGGCTCTCAGTCATAAGAGGGAATCAACTCCCAGCTAGGTTCTCATATATTACAGTTTTATAATCAAAAAATCATATAGCTTGAAAGCAGATATTGTTGGTCTTTGAAAGCAACAATCTGTCTCCAAAAAAGCAAAACCATGTTTCTAGAATATTTTAGCAATCTCAGAGATGCATACGCTGGAAGAAAGGTATTCCAAACAGTACAAAGCACAGCTTATACCCTGCAAAGCTAGTTCTAATTTTTACCTAGAGTACAAAAATAGAGAACAAGTAATTATCAAACATGGTTGGTGCATTTTACAGAATGAGTAGAAGCAAATGCACATGAAGTCTCCTATCATCAGAGGCCTCTTATATGTGAGGTAGAAAGAGTAATCAAAGCTCAAAGACATGCACTGTCCACACACCAAAACAGTGGCAATACCCAATACGTTCAGGAAGACTGTATAAATATAACCAGAGTTTATGTTATACGGAAAGGATGACTGCATTTCCATTCCATTGTAAGCAGTCTTTGCTTCACTTCAAGTTACTTGCTACTCTTACTCCAAGCAGTGTCTGCTTTGGCTGAAGAACTCTGATATTCACCCCCTCTCTTTTCTCATACTTCTCGTACTTCCAAGAGTTGCAAGGACTGCAAAGTGGCAACAGCTGCAGGAAATACCAGGCTCACTAGTAGACAGGTATTCCAGATTAGATTGCTATCATTTCCATGTTCCAAGAAAATGCCTTAACCACTAGTCTAGGATTTGGATGGATGCAGAGGATAGCAGTCATCTGCTCTCTGTCTTATGAAATTAAACCAGTCCTCATCATTCATTTACTCCCTTAAAGACAAAAAATTCTTGACATATACCAATACTGAAAGTAAATTAGTATAGAATCCTAAAAAAAATAATGATGTTTACACATCTTTCCATCCTAACTTGTATTTTACAATGGTGCCAAACCTGATAGTGTAAATCATTAGTACATATTTAAAAGCTCAGAGCATAAAGAATTGTTGTTGTTTTTAATCTCCAGATATAGCTGCCTATTTCTGAGGAAACTAGATCTTCAAAACATGTCTTGCTGGAGAATGAGGCATTTAATTTTTTTAAGGAAGCTCATTTGTCTGCTCAGAAAAAACATATGAAATTTCACTGCAAAGGCAATTATAAGACAAAATTAGCACTAAGAATGAAAGGACTATCTTAATGATGACTGTAGCATCACTGGCATGACATTATAATACTGTAAGAATTATACAGCATCCCAAAACTGTCAAATGAGATTTAGGAATATAGTTCAGAAGTTATCCCCCATTGAGTTACTGTCCATAATCCTGATGCAAATCCTGTAAAGTGTTCGTGTGAGGTAGTCCATATGCTAAGGGTAGCATATCATTTCAAAGCTGTCAGTTTTAATTTCTGTTTTATTAATTTTCCCATAAGTCTACAGACATGTATTTCAGAGGATATATATCAAGTAGCATGTATCCACACAAAGAAGCAATACAGCTATGGCTTATTCTGACATGCTTCACCATGAAGAGTTCACGTACTGGAAGCAATAACTGCAAATGCTATGGTTTGAGCAACAGGGGTGAAGGTTTTGAGAACCTGTAGGACTAGAGATGAAGGACAAGGCCTTGAAGCACAGATTCAAGAGTTAAAAATGGATTTTTGTGAGCATACAAGGGGAGAACAGAGAGAAGTGTATTTGAATAACAAGTCTGCCCCTGCTTCAGATTTTCAGTCCTACCATAACGATTTCTCACTTAAAGAAAATCTATGGCAGAGATAGTTTTGACCTTTGACTGAAAAAGCAGCCATGACCACACTATCTGGAAAAATAAAACCCCTAGATATCTTGGTAAAAGCCTTTCCGTGACTGTGATTTGTTGAAAGAGGAATGATGTAGGAAAAGATACAGGAAGAACTGGACCAAACCTTGTCTTACAATTTGAAGCAATCTAGTAAACTTAAGTTTGCAGGAACCCATTGCTAGTTGACTTTTTTTTTCCAATATAATATTGTGCAGAGGGTTGTCATCTGCTGCATCAAGTCTGTGAGTACCTGAAAGAGCTTGTGTAAAGCAAAATCAGTTCTCTCTCTACTACACTGCAATTCTCCCTGTAAACACATACCTAAGCCTTATATCTAAGGTGCATGATCATAAAAACTTTCTGAACATTGAACTTCACATGCACTTGGAGAAACAGCATGACAGGAAAGTGAGTTCAATGGCTAATCCCATATAGACCATCTTTATCTTTACCATACCTTTCCATGGTATGGTAATCCATACATCTTTAATTCCCATGTCAAAGACAAGGGAACTCAGACATAGGCACACTAGGAACATCTACACTGCTAAATAAAATGAGTGGCTGAAAACTGGAATCTTGATTTTTCACATTGTTTAACTGCTTTCTCACCTTTGGCTGTTATGGACTTCTGGACTTCTTTACTGAGCTCCAGATATCATCCTGGACATAGTTCATTCTCAGGACAATATCTAAAAGGGATATGATGACACTACCAGGTATGGTTCTCTCTACCCTAAATCATAAGCCACTTTTCCAAGTGTACTATTTTTAGCAATTCCACCCACATACCCCTGTAAAAAAAAAAAAACAAAACCAACCAAAGCCAAAGGTCATATGTAAGGACTGATATTATAAATGAGGTAGGATATTATAAAATACAAAATTTTAGGACCAGCCCCAACTCTGGATGACATATTCTTTTCTATTTGAACTAAGTAAGTAACAAGAAAAAAATTATTAAAGGAATTTTTTCCAGTAACATCACTTGGCTTCTATTGAGCATTTCTGATATGAATAACTGAAATAGCTTAATGGTAAAATCAAACTCATTTTTAGATATCAGTCAATATAACAGAGACGATTAGATCATGTCTAATGTAAGATTGGTTTTAAAATTCACTGGCACCATGGATTCAGTTAACACAAATGTTTATATTTAGGTTAATACTTTATGAACAGTGCCGTATGTATAATACCACTGTAAAATAAATTAACGTATTGAAGATAATTATGTTACACTGAAAATGGTAATTGATAATTTACTAAAAAAAACTGAGGTTAAATCTATATTTTTTCAAGAGCAATTCAAAGTCCAATGTTCTTTGCTTTAATCTTTCTGGTCTTTCACTCTCCCTCTGATAATTCTTCCTTAGAATAATTAAACAGTAGCTATGTCTACATGTCAGCTCTCAGATTGCAGATGTGCTTTAGACCATCCCGTGAAGGGGGCCTACAAGGATGCTGGAGAGACTCTTCATCAGGGACTGTAGTGATAGGACAAGGGGGAATGGGTTTAAACTTAAACAGGGGAAGTTCAGGTTAGATATAAGGAAGTTCTTTACTGTGAGGATGATGAGGCACTGAAACAGGTTGGCCAGAGAAGTGGTGAATGCTCCATCCCTGGCAGTGTTCAAGGCCAGGCTGGACAGAGCCTTCAGAGATGTGGTCTAATGTGAGGCGACCCTGCTCATGGCAGGGGGGTTGGAACTAGATGATCTTAAGTTCCTTTCCAACCCAAATCATTCTGTGATTTTATGTGACTACAAACATAAATCTCAAATCTTTAATATAGTGATTAAGCTCTGTATCTCTAGAAACACTGAGCCAGTGCTCAACATCGAAGTGCTGGCTTTCCATAAGGTACCATTTGGTCTCTGCAGCTAAGATTCACACCTTGGATATGACAAAATCATGTGAAAATCAACCACACAAATAGCTGTCGTCATTTTATTTCTCCCACGTATTGAGTTTGACTGCTTGCATACAGCACTGCCCTCTCACTGTCTTTGCATCTACTGAGGCTGGCAGACACAATGAATGAGAGCAATTGCAATTAACACAATTTTCTTTCAAGAAAATAAAAATTTTCAGTTAACAATCTCACAAACTACTTTCTCTAAAACTCTATTATTTTTAAGTAATTTGTACTCATTTGATTATTCCATCTTCTAAAAGACCATCAGGAGGACTTGTCAACAATTTGCTGCAGGCATAAAGAGCTGGATTCTTAATATCAGCAATCATCTGCCACAAAAATTTGGATGCTTGATCCCACAGTTCTGGCCCCATCACTTTTAAAAATATCTAGATTGATATAACCATTGTAAGTGAGAGTACAATTACAAAACAGTGATAAGGGTACTTCACAAGGATGATTGAGATCTTTCTCCCAGGTTCTACAACTCATCTTCTCCAAGGTATGGGTTAGAATGCCAGACTTTTGAGGGGAAGAAAAAGACTGCTCTTTCATGAACTCCAGGAAGAAGATGACTTACAGTCTAGGCTTAAGATTCATAACTGAGAATCCCAAGTGAAAGAGGTGCCATTCTGCTTCTGAAATATAACTCTGATAGCTCTTCAAAGATTTAGGCCTTGTAATTTCATTCTTGTTCACTTCTTGCTTACAAATTGAGCATATTCTTTACTCAGCACAAATGCTTCTGCAGATTCCTCTCTACACCCTGGTCTCCTTCAACAGAGAAACTACATTCTCAAATCTGGGTAGAAAGGTATCTCAGTTTAGCAAGGATGGTAAGAATTGTTCTGAGGCTAGGGTCTTTCAATGGTATCTCAACTTAAAGCTTGTTAATAATAATAATAACAATAATAATAACAATCATAAAGGCTAATTTCTAATGTGATTTCTATATATACATTTTACTGCAGAAACAGTTACAGTATGGTGTTCTTTGAAACGAGTGGAGATATGGAGGATTTTTAATCCAACTAAAACAGTTTACCTGACTGTGTTCTCAGCTACAAACCATGGGAATGCTTCCCTACAGCTTGTCAGGTGTGAGTTAGAGGTAATTGCAGCAAAAGGAGGGGGCCATCACAGGCCTGTAATTCTCCTAGAGAGACTGCAGGTCTTTTTTCCTTCTGCGTAACCTTGTATGATAATTAGTCCAATTCCACCTGTCTGCTAAAGTAGCTCTTACAGCTGGGTGTCTGTGGTTAATTGATACTGTTCTGGATTAGTGCAGGTTCTGTATTGGTCACAGGGAACTGGCAGAAATAATTTTTAATGTTGAAAATTAGATCTGGATTCACTACAATATCAGCACTTTGCTTCAAAGATTTGCTAAATGGTCAGTCTGACTGCTATCCTTTCCAAAGTGTTCAGATGTCTTTTAAGTTTTAAATTGAAAACCTCTTCTCATGAAGAAATACAGATTTATATACTGCAAAATTTAAATCAGAACTGAAAAAAATTGAGTGATTTTTTTTTTTTCCAGAAATCTCTTGACTGTGATAAACAACGATACGATAAAATAGTCAGAGTGACCTTTGCAGTTTAGTTCAAACCTTGCTCTCAGCATTCATTACATGGATTTGGAAGCAAAGATCTATCATCAATAGCCCTAAATATGTCCACGGACTGAGAATGAAGTTGAATCTTAGATACAGATCCTGTGTCTAACCATCTGGATATTAGTTCTCCAGTTTTGCAAGCAACTTAACAGGTGCCTAGATTTATATTTTAAATATTCATCGGCAAAAAGTTAAGAATGTTCATAGGAACCTTGGCTGCATATCCAGACAATAAATCTATTTATAGAAAGATAAATATATAGGCCATATGACACCAACAATCCATATTGTATATGCTAACTCAGCTGAAGGCTTCTCAGCAGTGTAGGCAGAATCAGTTTTATGGAAGCAGCAATATGGGTCACAGCAGATGGAAGAAAGAGGCTAAAAAGATTCAGTGGAGGCTTCAGCGGACAGAACAGATGGGTTGTGGGGGGAGAGAATAGGGTTTCTAGAGTAAGACTGGAGCTAGCAACTCAGAGGTCAGTGAAGGTCCATGATATTCTAAGTGAGCTAAGTGAGGCTTTAGTGGGGCTGTGGCTCAGGGTAGTGATAGCTCCTCTCCTCTCCCGCTGTTCTGAGAACTTGTCCTTTTTCATGGGTAATCTTCTTCCTCGCTTTCCTGAACCACAGGACTTACACATGCCACACTTTGCTTGTCACCCATGGACCTGTCTTCACCTGCTACCCTTTCCCTGATAGGAAGGCCTGCAGGGTCCTGCTCTCCCACAGAAGCAAGGCCTGCTTCTTTTAGGATAAACAACAGCTGAACATTGAAAAGGATGGATGTCAGAGAGGATTTGCTCTTATACCTTCCTGGAGAAAAGCAGACAGAAAAATTGCTATAATTTCTTTAAGAAGCTGCACAGGTTACATTGTTTATTCACTCAGTGGGAAACAGCAACAGCAGGAAAGAAAGTCGGCTGTATAGAGCAGGAAACAAAGACCTGCTGTTCAGCCGAGAAATCCAGGACCCTCTTTGGCATAGATGAAGTATACAGACTGCTTGCCATAAGCTGCTGCCTACCTTGTCTTTTGGCTTAATACAACTCCGTATGTAAGTGTGAGTGTTGTGTATATATACATATGTGTGTATGTATATCGTTTAATCCAAGAAATAATGTTAAAAACACAATAATGAGTTTCCAAGTATTATCAAGCCTATTAACTTCCAAATAGTTCATTGAGGACCAATTTTAAGTGCTAAATAGTACAGCTAGATTTTGCTTTTATGCAAAAATCAATGCAAACACATGAATCATCGAGAAGCATGCTGCAGTCTTCCAAAGTCAGTTTCTAATTAGCAATCCATTGATCCAAATAGTACTACAAATAACACAGTGAAAAAAATGTTCTACTAAGTATATGGAAAAAAGATCCTTTTTTTTTTTTTTGCCCTTTACAATTAATTTAAATTCTTTCCGGAATCAAGAAAAGTGTCAGAATTTTGCATCCTTAACACTATTTTCTGTGTTCAGCAATGTTCCTCCTTTCACTCTGTCCCATCAGTTAGAAAACTTACTCAGACTGTGCATGAGAATAAACCTAATAAAGAAAATGGATGAGGGAAACCTAGGCTTTGCAGGAATGCACTTCTGACTACAATAGTTCTTTTCCCTCTCTTGGAAGAGGGGAATTGATCTAGCCTGTATTTTCCCATTACAATAATGTACATTTGTCATGTTGTTTTCATGGATATTTAGGGTGGTAAAAAAAAAATTACACCAGACTGGAATAAAAACTAACAAAAGCTTAGACTTTAAAGGCTTTATTTATTTTGTACCCAGAATAAAACATGTTAATATCTGTAAATCCTTTATATATGATTGTCAATAACTTCTATATGTTTAGCTACCTCCTATAGGAAGCTAGGATCCGTTGCATTTAAGTTATAGGAATGTATTCCAGAAATAAAGGAGATCACAGATGAATGAATATTATTTCAATATGAGAAAGGAAATCCTAAGAACTTCTCTGTTTTTTTTTTTTATTTTCTGCCCTTCCTGGGAAAGCAAAAGAGTATTCTAAGACTGAACTGAACCCTACAAAATGGCTGAAGACAGTCAGCAGAAAGTTAAATATTACATAGTAGCAGCTCTGAAAGTCTTGCAGTCTTTTTGATTAAAGAATGAGTGGTCCAGTACTGGTTAAAATTCAGGCCTGCTGCAAAAGAACCATTATTCAGTCTGTCTTCAGTGATGTATGAGGTCAACATCAGCCTGCATTTGGTACTATGTTCGACATTGTTCAACCCATGACCTTTATTTGCCTTCAAATTTAAAATAAAGGTTTAAAAGTAATTGCTATGTTTTGGGGTAAATTAACTATTTTTAACAAGCACTCAAACTGTGGGTTGCATTCTGTAAAGAAAGCCAGTCTTCAGTATTCAGAGAAAAGTACATAATGATGCTATCTGACCTGCAGTATTAATACCAAATGACAGGGAAACATACAATCTAAATGAAAATTTGAGATATGTTTTTGCTTCATGACTTTAATACGTGCAGAAAAAAGCTGGCATTTCCCTTGTTGTTAATATCCGCACATTCGGGTATTTGTTTAGAAAGAAAGAGATTATTTGAGAATCTTGGTGGGGTATTTTCATCAAAGTACTGAACTTATTAGAACCAAAATCATCATCATTAAACAACCTTTTCATCACTTCAAAATTATATGGCTTCTCAAGGAATGGAAAATTTAAATGTTAAATATCTCTCATTTTTGTCATGGGTCCATGTGGCTGGTCACAAACACATTCCAAAGCTTAGCTGAACAGAAGCCTGAATAGAAGCGATTGTAACTCTAAGGAAACTGATTAAATCAGTTATCAAGAAAGTATAGTTGAAATTATGAAGCAGTACCGTAGCTTAGGAGAAAATACTCAAAGTAATTCTATCCCTGAATCTCTATTACTGCTGTTTATCTAGTGTAGATATGGTGCACTTTTATCCTGAAACTAGGTGTGATCACATACATGGAAAATAGAGTAATAGTTTCATAGAACTACGTACAACATGACATACAGAATCTTAGCTGTGTTGTAACTTGTTTGCTGTCAGAACTGCTTGCTGTAAATTAAGTCAGATTGATCAAAAGCCGTTGCTTTGTTTCTGTGCTACATCTTGTAGCACAGCTCTTAGACTCTAAAATACTAAATAGGGTCCACAAACTAATTTTCTGTGTTGAAATTCGACAAAACCCATAGGAATCCTTGGAAAAACATTATTTTCTATTAGATTTCAAGACAAATAACATGATTTCTTTACACCCTGGCATTCCTTTTTTGCTCTGTGTAACTTTTCTGATGGTGAAACTAATAATGGTATGAAAAGATTTTTTATTTGCTGTTAGTAAAAATAATGATTTTAAGTGTTTCACACACATTTATTAAATTATTATTGCTCTGAAAAAAAAATTATGTAGTAGACAATAAAGAAAAAAAAAATTGTCCCTCTATTTTCATTTCATCTTATGCATTCTCAAAGGCAGAAAAGTGAGCGGCAATGAAAAAAACCCAAAACCCAGTGTTAAAATACTAGAGAGAAAATTAGTATATAGTCATTCAAATGTTCCAGCAGTCTGTTCTCAGCAGTGATGAAAACACAGACTGTTTCTGTATTTAGGGATCATCAGAAAAATCATCAGGCCACTTGTAAATTTCCTCTGCAGTGTTGTAACCCAGGTATGTATTTAACATTTCTTTCTGTGTTCACCTTCCACTCAATACAAAAATGTTCCCTGTATCCTTGTTTTCTATAAATTAAGCCATGGCAATACGCTTAAGTTTTCAGTTTACTTCCCTCAGTTACTTTGATGTAACATCACCTAACCTTCTGATGTGCCTTCAGGATTCTTGTACGTTTTCTACTATTCCGGAAGGCAAAGCAGAAACTGCTTTTGGAAGCAGCCTGTTGGTCTAATGAGATATTTTGAATTAGGATGCTTCCAAGCTAAATACTGAGTTGACATTTCTAACGAAACATCATTTCTTTTTGTTTTCCTCAATTGTGAACTGTAAGATTGAGTCACAAATGTACTTAACCCTAAAAATCTGCCCAGTGCGTAGCATTTCTACAAATTCTGTAGCAGCCAGAAGTGTCTTCTGATAGAATTGCAGTGGTCACCTTTCAAAGCTCAACATTTACCCAGAAATGTTACACAACTACCTACAGTCAAATGATGAAAGCAACAGGAGTAAAAAGTTTTTAATTTCTGAAATTGTAAAGGAAAATATTTCAAATCTCTAAGCAAATGGCTATTCATTGTTTTAAACAGAAAGACAACTGTCAAGAGTCTCAATTTTGAAACAAATTGTCAGTTCAACAGTACGTGGATACTTGTTTACTTATATGATACATATGCCCTTTAAGTGTTGTATATCTCCTCTTCCAAGGTCCTAAAAACCTAATATGGAATATGATTTTGAACTGAGCTTTAGAGGTGGCAGCTGGAAGCCAGTGATAGTTGACCTACATGAAGTGCAGTGAACTTGCTGTGTGCCTTAAATGTTATTTTAGCAGTAACCTAGAAAAACAATCTGTAACTTCTTCAGCTACAGCTAAAATCTATGTCTTCCAGTTCTCAGGCAACTGCTGTAGTTCTGAGACTACTGTACAAAACATAACTAGTATTGCCATTGTTTGAAAAGACACGGAGCCATAGTGAAATTACAGAGCACAACATAGGCATTTAAGTTCATGGGAGAGTGCTGCAAATGCTGAACTTACATGGCTACACACCACAGCAAAGCAGGAAGAGGTTTCTCCAAGTATGATGTAGTTTCAGGCACACTTGTTCCCTGAGCATTCCTTCTTCCACATTGGTTTAGCTGACTGCACTTTGGTGTGCAAGGGATTGTAATGCCATTTCTGGGAGAACTAAAACTCCATTTGCTGCAAAAAATTAGATTGAATTCTACTCCTGGACGCCTCAACTTTATTCCATTTTCGATATTTCACTGTGGATTGGGCCTTAATATTTATGAAAGTCCTAAAATCCCACTGAATTTAGGTAGTTTGACGCTTACGTATATATCTGTCTCCCCACTAAATATAAGCAATGAACAATATTAATCCACTTGAAGAATATGCCCTACAGGAAAAAACTTTTTTTCTTGTTTAGAAAGTAAGAAACAAATAAATATTCTATTAATAAATAACGCAAGGTCAAATAGACACGTGCATAAACCTAAACACCTTAATTTCCCATTGAATATTTAACAGGAAGACAAAGACAATGACTTCAAGTGTAAATGAAACAAACAAACAAACAAACGAACAAATAAAACCCAAACCAAACTCCACAAGCTAAACAAAGTTTTCTTTTTTAGAGACATTTAAACATTAAGATCAAAGAAACTGCCTGGCACTCTTATTAAATTAGAGGGAGCCAAGACTGTTTTACAAGCGCAATATTCACAATGGAATTTCCAATAGTTTTTTGCCCTGACTTAATGCTCTAAGAAGCTCATTATTTCAAGTCTTAGCGGCAGAGAAGTTATCAGAGAGTTAGGCTGGCATTGACAATAATGTGGTATTGTGCTTAGAGGCACAGTACTACAGCACCTACTTATAGTAAGATATTTGTAACATGAAACAAATAAATCTCTGAAAGTATTCCTGCTTTTGACATCTTTAGCCATCCAAAGCTGAGAGAAAAATAGAAAAAGAAAATCTTGTCATAAAAATAATATTTTAAAATGTTGCATGAAGAAGAGACTTAGCATTATACCTTCTCCTCTGCTGCTGCACTAACAAAGGGGTAGAAACAGTTAGTTCAGAAGTGGGGAACTGCAAGCTGCAGTATATGATTTGTTC